GCGGGGCCCCTGCCCGCCCCTCCCTGCACCCGGCCCTTGCCGCCGCGGGAGAGCCCCGAGCGCGGACACCGGCCGGCCGGCCTGGCGGTCCGCCGCCGCCGCCCGCCGCGCGCCCCCTCCCTCGGCTCTCCCCCGCGCGGCTTCCTGCTCCAGGGCGGGGCGGGCGGGGCGGGGCGGCCGGGCGTCCCGGGGGAAGCGGGGCTGCTCCGGCCTCCGCGAGCTGCGCGCGCCCAGCTGCACGGAAGTGAGCGGCAGTTTCCACTCGCCGCGCGGTCCAGCCTGGCCGGCGGGGCGGCTCAGACGGCGACGACGACGGACCGCCGCGCCACCCGAGCCGGGAGCCGCGGAGCCGGCCCGGCGAGGGAGCAGCGGCAGCGCTGAGAGCGCCGATCCGCGGCAGGTCAGTCGTGGCGTTCCCTGCGGTGCCCCCGCCGCAGTCCCGGGGAAGGGCTCTTCGGCGTGGCCGGCGCGGGCGCAGAGGGACGCGGCGTGCGCCGGTCCCGGCCGCGGGCGCCCCCTTTGCGCCCTGGGCGCAACGGTGCAGCGCTGAACTCGACGGGCCGCGCTGGGGAACTCCGCCAAGAGCGCCCCGCTCGAGCGCGGCGCGGGACCCGGTCCCCGTTGCGCCCTGGCGCTCCTGGGGTGCCTTGGGCCGGTCGCAGACTCCCAGCCAGACCTACCTCGCAGGATTGGTGTGCGGACAAAAGGGAGGGAGAGGCGCAAGATTGTGTAAGTTGCTCTGAGCAGGGGGACAAAAGGAGGCGTGCATGTGGTTGAAAATAAAATCGAAGTAATAAGCCGTGAAAAATGGGCGGTGAGCTCCAGGGCGGCTCCGGGCAGGTTCCTTGGAGAGACCGTAACCGAGGTCTCTGGAACGAGCCGCGGATGGGGCCGTCGCGGCTGCTGCGGGGAAAGGTGTCCTTCATGGGGTGTTTGTCTCCATCCCAATCCCATTCCCGAAAGCCTTTTCCCGCGGTTCTCCTGCCGGCGCTCCCGCTTGGGTTCCATGCTGGTCCCAAGCAAAAGTGTCTTCTGAAACGGGTGCATTCACTTCTTGGACTCCAAGCACTTTTTCTGAATGTTTGCTTCTCGACCACAAGATTTTCGCTTCAGGGAGGTGGGAGTTAATTTGTCTTGCAGCGGAGGGGGGTCTCTGCGTTTGCTGCTCTGGCAAGAGTCCTGCTCTTTCCTCCCGCGACGAATGCACGCGCACTGGCAGTGCCTTCTCGCTAAAGCTGCGCGGCACTGTGCGTGCTTTTGGTCACTTGCGCGTTTTCGTCCTGCTGCTAAATGGCTCTCCGGGCTCAGCGCCACTCTGGCTGCTGCCTGCCGGGCTTCGGCTGGCGCCCGGCTCCCCGCCCCCGCCCTGCATCGCTGTGCTCCGGCCTCCCCGCCGCCTCAGGCCGGGCAGCCAATGGTCAGCCAACACTGGTCGGCCGTCGGTCCGGCCGGCTGGGCGGGCAGGGGGGCCGTGCAGCCAGCCCCGCAAGCGCTTCACGGGCTCGTTCCCGGATTCAGCTGACGCAGCTGGCAGGCAGCGGCGCTTTCAGCGGCGCTCGAGTTTTGGTAAAGCCCCCTCAGGCCGTGCTGAGCCCCATCCCCAGGCGGGGGCCTTCGCAATCCGCCTCTTCCTGTTGGAGCTTTGGAAAAGAAAACAAACGGAGGGTTGTTCCTCCGCTAGAGAAGATCCCTGAAGATTTCCAGACGTTTCAGTGGAGCTCTCAGCCAGAACGAGGCCCGGAGGCCAGGGGGCGAGGGAGAGTTGTGTCTACCTTTCCCACTCCAGCCAGTCACCGGCCTTGCGGATGTGAGCGGTTTCGTCCCCTGAGCCCGCAGTGCCAGCATTCTGCTTCTGGGCTGTGCCCATCTTTCTGGAGGTGCTCTTTCCACAGCCAGTCCCCGCCCCTCAGCTGGGTGTGGGGAGCGGGATGTCTTGGCCACAGGGAGGGCTTATTTTTGGCAGTGCTTTCGGTATCTTTCCGGCAGGATGTCGCTGGTGTGCGAACGGCACCTCACAGTCTGCCGGCACTGGGCCTGGGTCTTGCAGGACAGAGCCGGAGGTGGTAGCCCCCAGTCCCCTTGAAAAGGAATAAATGCACCCCCATGGTCAAGCTAGGGGGCTGCCGCTCCCTCTGCCCCCTGCCTGGTCTGCATTAAAGAGCTCAGAGCGCTGGAGCTGGGAGGCCCTGCCTGTGCACCCCAGCAGTCGGGGTGTTGAGTGGGTGCCTCTGGTGTCTGTGAATCATCCCATCCAGGAGGTGGTCCACAGGGGGGACGCTTTCTGTCTGCAGGGCCCCCTGGAAAGCAGCTTCCTGGGCCCTGAGAGGCGAGGCGCCAGGGAGCTCTCCTGCAACCACGCTGTCAGAGTGCCTGACTTCTCCACTGTGACCTCGAGAAAAAGGCCGGAGGCTCAGCACTGGGGGGGAGCAGAGAGAGGGAGGGAGGCCAGCATAGCAAGGGATCAAGGGGAGCTGCTCCTCCTCTGCGCCCCGTCCTTCTTCAGACTTCTGCAGGTCTTTTCCTTCCTGCTCTTGCTTTCTGGCTGACCTCCCGTCCCTCTCGAGTCTTCTGGGGCCTTCAGCTGCCTTCTCCACCCCCTCCTTCGGTCCAGCATTTTGCCCAGAAATGGAATGCCGGCAGGGGCAGAGCAGGTGGGGCACTGCATCCTCAGCATGGGGCCTCCGTGGGCGCACCCTCAGCCAGGACTCCACCCTCTTCCCCAAGAGACCCACTCCTCCTGCGGCAGTTCCGCCCCACAGCAGCACCCTTCCAGGGAAGAAGGGCACTGCAGCCGCTGGGCTGCTCTCCAGGCCCTGCGCACCCCCGGAGCCGGGAGGTGGGACCCCAGGCGGCCCGTGCAGGAGAGGCACTCGGCTGTGGAGGAAGGGCAGGGAGAGCGCCGTTGCCCGGAGTCCCCGTCTTGTGGGTGCAGGACTGTGCCGGCCTTGCTGCCTCCCACTGCCCACTTGGGCCCCTTCTGCTCTCAGGCCCTTGGCTGGCAGGTCCCTGGCCCAGGCTCCCGTCCTCCCCTTTATGCAGACCAGGCGTGAGGGGCACATGGGACAGGGCAGAAGATGCAAGCACAGATCCGCTCGAGCTAATTCACCTGCGTGCTCAAGCCAGACCCTGTTTCTCAAGGGCATTACTCCCTGTAGAAAGCGATGTGTGGGCAGGGGAGAGGAAAGCCCTCCTGCGGGAAGACCGGGGTGGGGCAAACGGCCGGCTCCCCAAGGGGGTGGCGCAGCAGAGGTGCGTGGAGCCCTGCCACCATGTGGCCGCATGGGTGCGGGCAGAGGGCTCCTGGGGATTGGGAGCTCTGAGGGAAAGACGGGGGCTCTGGCACTCACGCCACCCCTTTCCCTGTGTGGCCAGCTCTTCGGAGCCTTCCAGCCTTCCTCCCGGACCCCAGCCTCCTCGCCACTCCGAGCACTTCCCTCCAGCTCCCACGCAGAAGGGGCTCCGTGTGAGGGCTGGACCTGCCAGAAGCAGGCCTGACCTGGGGCCTGGGGAGCGCTGCCCGGGCTGCGGGGCAGGCGCCGCACCGGAAGAGGAAGTGTCCAGCCTGGGAAGCACAGGCCGCCTTCCCTCCACAGAGGACGGCTCCGTCCCCGGCAGCGGCAGGAAGTTCCTGTTGTGCTGGCAGGGACAGGAGAGCGGAGCTCGTGCCGCGAAGCCTGGCCCCAGCGCACGGCTGCGCCCAGAGCCCCACTTCCAAGGCGCGAGGGGCGCGGCTGGTGACAGCAGGCCCAGGGCGCCATTCGGCTGCGAGGTGCAGGGCCGCCCTGGCCAGCCCCTCTGTGCCGGCCCTTCTTTGCAGGGTTGCTGGGAAGGAGGCACCCGATGGCGGGCTCGGAAGCCTCCTTGCGCGGAGCAGTGTCCCCCGGCCCCCCTGCGCTTCTCCGACGGTGCTGGGTGTCGACGTGGCCGCTTTGCCTGGGGAGGGCGGTCTGGAGGTGCGCCCATCACAGGGCACCGGCGGCTGACTTGGCCTGCCCTCCCGGCATCCCGTGACAGGTCTCGGCCTGGGAACCACCCGGCGGCTCTTGTCAGTTAAAGGGGAAGCCGTCCGTGGGCGCCATCCCAACGGCGAGGCTCCTTTCCGGGCCATCTGCAGCCGCCTCTGCTGGGAATGGGGAAGGGAAGCTTGCTGGACACTCACCAGCAATAGCAGCCAGCAGGACCCTGCCTGTGGGAACGGCTGGAGGACCGGGCGGGGTGCAGGCAGGAATCTCCACATGGCCTTCGGTCCAAAGCAGCAGGGGATGATGGGTGGGGGCCATGGAGGGGCTGAGGGCCTCGCTGCGGAGCTCCTCCTCCAGGGGGCTGTTCAGTGCCTCAGGATCGAAGCGCCCTTCCCCGGTGGAGGGGATGACCCCCGACTCCTTCTCCTAGGTACCACCGCAGCATCGCTATGGAGACACACAGCCGGGAGATGGAGCTCTTGAGCAACAGCATCGCCGCTTACGCGCACATCCGAGGTGGGTGGCAGAGGGAGCAGAGCCCCTGGATGCGCCTGACCCGCAGATGCAGGCCTGCCCGGCCCACTTCCTGCAGTGGGGACAAAGATGCCTTCTAGGCCCCAGACCTCTGCCCTCAGCAGCTGCTTTTGTGGCAGCACCAGGGCCTTTGTTTTCCTTCCCAAAATGGCCGCCTCCTCCTTGCTCCATGGAACGGCTTGCCTCCATCTATACTAAGCAGTCCAAGGTTCAGAATGAGGACAGAGGAACTTGCGCTGTGCACCATTCTTTCTGGTGGGGCTCCTTTCTGCTTCCCGCTCAAAAAAACAAAGTAGCAAAAATGTTTAAAAATGGCATTCTCATAGTTTGCTACTCAGCCGTCAGGCTAGTTAAATGGCAGGCCTGTAATTTAGAGGCAGAGTGTAAAATATTCATATTTGAGAAATGACCAGCAATCCTCATCCTCCTTCATACAGAGAAGCCTGAACAACACAGAGAGCACCCAACACATTACCATGCTTAATGTGGTTTTTCTCCCCCTCCCTCCTTCCCCCTCACTTCTCCAGCGGGTATCGCCGTGTCCGCAGCGGCTGGACGAGTCTGGCTGCTTCCCCTGCATCACCATTTTAAACAGCTGGGCCTCAAAAAAGCACAGGTGGGGCCATACGGTTTTTTCAGGCCCTGCAATTTCCACAGGCCTTAAAATATGTACATATTTGCTGGTCCTCCACATGTGGCTTTCCAACCCTTCTGCGTGGTCCCTCTGCCCAGGCCGAGGCTGCACCCAGGCTCCTTGGCACAGATGCCAGGGGCCCCCAGCGCTTTGCTGAGGGGGAGTAGCACTGGTAGAAGGGGCCAAACAGCAACGGGGGTGCCCCAAAAGTGGGGGACAGTATCCTGGAGCAGGACAGTCCCCTGCATGTCCGTCTGGAACCCCACTGCTTCCGTCCCTCCCTGGCGCCTCTGCTACGCCGGGCGCTCCTCCTTGGGGTGCTGGTGCTCCTCCACCGTCCCCCCACCGCTCAGGAACCGTGCACAGACATGGGTGCCCATTTGGTGACTGGGGTGGAAGTGGGCGCACGTGCTCCCTCTTCCCCACACAGCCCTTCGGTTCCCCCCAGCCCTGCAGCTTCCCTCCCTCCCTCCCTCCCTGTTCTCTTCATGCCCAGAGGACAGCTCTCCATGGAGTGGTGGCTCAGCACCAGCACTCCACCTTCGCATAATAGAGGGGCTTGTTTAAAATGGCCTTTGAAAGCGGCCGGCCGGGAGGGTCGGTTTTATGGGGCCTGTGTTTTCCCTCCCACTGCTCCCTTGAGGGGACCTTTGCTTCTTGCTGGGTCAGGTTGTTACAGCTCTGCTCTATTAGGCAGCACAGATGGATTGTCCTTCTCGCCTTGAGCGCCAGCACATGCACGGGCAGGCAGGCGCGGTCTGTGCTCTCTCCTGCAGCCGTGCCGGGGATCCGGGAGCCTGCTTCTGGGGCCGCAGCGCCGCCTTGACCCTTCTCCCCTGTCTTGCCTAGATAACCCCGAGAGTTTTGGCCTGTACTTTGTGCTGGGCGTGTGCTTCGGCCTGGTGCTGACCCTGTGCCTGCTGGTCATCCACATCTCCTGGCAGCCTCAGACCATCCCCCCCAGGCCCCGCCGGAACCTGCGGGACGTAAGCGAGGAGGAGGAGGAGGAGGAGGAGGAGGAGGAAGAGGAGACCGCTGACCACGTGGTAGCCGAGCCAGCCCTGGCCATGACAGAGCTGCCCCTGGAGGCCGCCAGCACCCCCGACGGGAGCCTCGCCATCAACGTCTTTGCCTCGGCAGAAGAGCTGGAGCGCGCCCAGCGCCTGGAGGAGCGGGAGCGGATCCTCCGGGAGATCTGGCGCAATGGGCAGCCGGACATCCTGGGCACCGGTACTGGAACCATTAGCAGAGTCCATTACTACTGATCCACCTGTATCCACCCCCCCTTCGGCCTCCCCAAGAGGCCTGTGGGCTACTGTGCCCATCATTCGGCGGCGCAGACTTTGCGCAAGACCTGCCCTTATGCCGGCTGGGAGGCCGCCGCTTTGCACGGCGGGTGGAGGTGAGAGAAGAGGCCGCCGGGAGCAAAGGGACCACACTAGGCATGCAGGCAGCAAGTGGGACCCTCAAGCACAGAGCGAGCGCCTGCCCACCCCCCTGCCCCACCACTTCCATTTCTGTGGGGAGGGGAGTGGATGGCGGAGAACTGTAGCGGAGCTTGGACTGGCCTGCCCGAAGGGCCAGTCGCTGTGTGGGGAGCGTGGCTGGGGCTGCCACGGCTCCCGTGGGACAGGAGAGCACCGTGGGGTGGTGCCGTGGAGCTGGCCGGAGAAATGGACGGAGCAGGCAAGTGCCCGGGCTCCCCGCCAAGCATGCTCCTCACGCCGGCTGCACCCCCCGGCATGAGGGGCCTGAGCGGAAGGCCCCTGCTGCTGGTGGCAAAGAGGCGCACCATGCTGCACCACGGGGCTCCGCGGAGTGGAAGCCTCTGCAGGCCTCGGCCCACTCCGACTTCCACCGCGTCAGAGTGCTGCACTTCAGCCCCTTTCCCATCTGCAGAAGGTGCCGGGTCCCCCAGGATGGGGGGGCAGCCCTTTCCCCTCCTCCAGCCCACACGGATCGTTTCCAGGAGCTCTGCAGAGAGTTGGAAGCCCGGGCCCAAGCACGCACCAGCTCAGGTGTCCTCCGGGTGCTCAACCCCTCCCCGCTTCAATTCTCCTCCAGAAACCTTTGCCTCACTCCCCAGGCGGGGCTGCAGGGTGGGACGCGGCCCCCAGGCCAGCTGGGAAGGTCTGGCAGGCCCATTCCCACGGCCTCAGTGCAGTGCCTGCTGCCCATGTGCCCCAGGGGGCTCCTTTGACCTTGCGTGTGCCTCTACTGCACCCGGGACCCCGTTGCCTTGGCCGGCCGGCGCTGGTGGAGCCCATGTACAGACTGAGTGGAATCATTCCCATTTCCGGCGGCTGAGCTCAGGGCCGGAGAGCGAGCTCCCAGCCTCTCCGAGGGCCTTGTGCCGACAGGGTCACAGCACGAGAGGGGTCAGCCAGGTGCTGACTTGCAGCAAGGGCTGGTGATGAAGAGAGTCCCAAGGAGATTTTTCGCATGCGCTTTCCCTCAGGTGTTCCCATGTTCTAGTCCCCTGCCTACCCCTCCGACAAATGCATTTGGTATTTTCCAAATATGCCCCATCCTCTGGCGCTCCAGACCGTCCTTGCATGACGGTGGCCCTTCTGTGCCATCCCTCCGCCACCCGGGGGATCTGGCTCGCATTCCCACGCGCTGCTTCCGCATTGCAACGCTGCCAGCCTGGCAGGATTCCCTGAGCTTAATTGGGGGAGGGGGAGGGGGAGGGGGAGGGGGCCAGTTTCCTGGGGCTTACAGACCCCTCTCCAGCACCCTCCGTACATTTTCCCCAGAGAAATCTTGTCCGGGAAGCCCGTGGAAGGTCCTTGTCTTTTTGCTGGGGAGAAATAGAACAAAATGACATTTTCCTGCAGGACATTGCCTGCATGAAAACAAGCAGCTCAAAATCCATTTTTCTTTTTAATATATTTGATTTTTTTAATCTAACAATGCATTGAAAAGCTTAATGTAGGTATTAATAACATTCATTCATCTTTCTGTGATCACTTTTGCATCCAATTGTGTTGCTTGTCTGATATGCAAGCTTTATCCGTTTATCCTCTGTTAACCCAGTCATATCTCCATTAAAACGTGAATTGTGGGCATATCACTCAGTTTATAAAAGTCCACCAGGTTGTGGGGAAGTTCCCCCTGCTGGCCTGTCTCTGGGTCCCCTTCCCATGTTGCTCACGTCGGCATGTGAGCCGCTGATCCGAGCCAGAGCCTGCTGTTGCCAGCGGGGGCCTAGGCATGCCTCCCCCCCCCCCCACTGCTGCGTCCGTGCTGCCCCAGCAGAGTACCAAGAGCCTGGTCTCCCGCAGCGAGCAAACCCACCTTGGGGAGATGGGCTCCACGCTGAAAGCCACAATGGAACGCGTGGGAATATGTGCCTATTTTGGTACACCTCCAGCACTTGAGAGACGTATTTTCATAAATATGCCATGCCTCCTCCTCCTCCTCCTAGGAGCAAGGACTGAGAGAAAAGTATGAAGTACTTTAATCAAGCTTTCCTCAGTCTTTTGTACAGGTGGATTTCACTGGGCCTCACTTGAAAAATTGAGCTTTTCCCCTTTGTCGGTGGTTATTCCGTCATTTTCCCATCCCCTAATAATGCCATCCACTGTAGGAAACTGTATAGCCAATAACTTATACAGTTGAGGTCAAACCTACTGTATCAGTTTCATTTTGTATTATTAGATTTTCAAAACACCGCTTAGGACGATGTTTGCATTTTTATAATCGGTATACTGGAAAATACCATGATTTGATTTAATTGTATCCAGTTCAGTTTTGCATTTTGCAGCTAATATCTCCCCTGTTCCCCAGTTTACAGAGCAAACAGCCTGCAAAGACCAGGACCCTCCCCGTGCTGAAGCTGATTGCATTTGCTCTCGTTAAAAAACAGAGGGTAAAATAAAAAGGGACAACTTAGAGATGATCCGGCATGAACTTTGACCTCCATTCATGCCATGTTAACAAAGTGCACTTTAAAAAGGAACTCCCTAATTCTTTAATGCTTTTTATAAGTGTTTCCCTCTTAATTAAACTCTTGATTGCTTTCTGGTCTCCATGCCTATCGCTGTGTTTATTGCATGATTATCTAAATTTTGTATCCATGGCCTAAGCCAGGGGTCCTCAAACTTTTTCACCAGGGGGCCAGTTGAAAGGTGCCAGTGCTGAGCATGGGCCGGAAAGGCGGTGCCGGCGGCGCACGTGGCCGTGCAGGCTGAGGCGGGGGCGCAGTGAGGCTTGCTTGCTTGCTTGCTTGCTTGCTTGCTTGCTTGCTTGCTTGCTTGCTTGGAGATCGTTTTCTCCGAGTGAGCAAACCGCTGCCTCCCCACGCAGGGGGCGAGGTGGGCACAGGCGCATGCACAGCGGGTCCAAATGGGCATGGCGGGCCGGATCCGGCCCCCAGGCCGTGGTCTGAGGATCCATGGCCTAAGCCCTTGGGTCTGTCAAGCTGCGCCGCCCTGGCAGTTGCACACCATCGGTGGCTGCTCTGTGGGCAGCCGGTGCTGTGTGTGGCAGACAGCTGTGCGCACCGCGGCTGGTCCCCGCCTGGTCCTCCCACGGGCATCCTGGAAGACAGAGCTGCAGCAGGGCTGGCCTGCCTCCCTCTCCCCATGGCAACCACCTGCTGCGTTTGGGTTGGCAGGGCATCCCCACCCCCAGGGGCATTCTGGCTTTCAGACAGTCTCCAAATTGACCGCTCGCTTTTGCCATCCCATTCTGAAAGCCCCCTCAGGGTGCCCACGTCGCATCTTGGGTGCCCTGTGTGGTTGGAAACCTTTTCTTTAAAACAAGGATGCTATACTGTGTAGCCGTATTTTGCATTTTATTCTTATGTCACAGATACACGTCTGTGCACTTAGGTCTGGAGATGGGCAGCTCCACCAGGGCAGAGTCCAGGGCGGTACCTTTTAGCCAAGCACAGCAGCTGAGCGGGCCAGAGAAACCAGCTGCTTGTACAGTAAGCGCAGTCGGGAGGCTGCCTCCCCCTGCATGGGAGGCCCACGATCCCCTGGGCTCCATGTGCTGCTCACACAAAGGTGCTGTGGGCATCCTTCTGGATTGCAGCCTAAGTAGACTTTGCCGTTTATTGGAATGCTCCTCCGGCCAATGAACTGGGTGCCCCTGGAACAGGGAGTTGGGCTCCCGCAAGCCAGACACCTTCACTGATGCAGTTCTGCCTGGGCAGGGCAGGTGAAGCTTTGTCTGTTTTCAGAACAGATTCCATTTGCCTGCAAAGAGGCACGTAAGTCAAATGTGTTCCATTTTTTAAACTGGTCCGAAATGAGTCCCTGAGTATGTCATACTAATATTGCAAGTCTTGCGCAGTTTGATTTTTCTTCCTGATTCATAGGCCATCAACCAAGAAACTTGATTTCTGATAACTGATTTTTAAACCATACCCTCCTATAATTTGCAAAGCTCTGGTCAGCTCAGAATAGGGTTTTTCAGTGTCAAAGCAATGCCATCTGTGTGCAAACTTTCCCGAGCAGTTCCTGTTAGGGGTGGAGAGGAAGCTCCCCACTCCTCCGGCTCCCCACTGCTAGAGACGGAGCCATGAGGGCTCACCCTGGTGTTGGCCCAGTTCCTCAAGGCCCGTTCCAGTTTGTCCAATGCTTTTGTACTGTCAGGTGAGGTGATTATACAAGGATATGTTTTGATTTTGGTATTATAATGCATAATATTGTTTATAGGGCTTCTTATTAATAAGCCCAATTGGTGTTTATTAGTATAGTTTGGGACCAAATTACTTAATATTTTCATCAGAATGCCTGTGAAAATTGTATACTCCTGATTAAGCAGAGTAATTAGGTTGCAAGAATCTGGGACATTTAGCTCATGCCCAGGTTCTGGAATTTAAACTATTTTTGAAGTTTGGCAGAAGCCCCTAGCTTATTCTCTAAAAGTGTGGTTAAACAGGGGATAATGTGTGGAATTAATTATGCTACAGATACCTTGTAGAAATTCCCATTATGTCCATCAGCTCTTAGGACTTTCTTGTTTTTTAGGTTTTTTATTGTTTCATGTATATCTTCAGATTTTTTTCCTGATATAATACTATCTAATGTTCTGCACTGAATTTTTGAAATTGCCTCATTTGTAAATATTGTTGAATTTGGCTTATATTTGGTGAAAAGGTAGCATTTTTAAAGTGGATTGGAAAATATCACTTACTTAGATATATCATTTTTACCTTTTGGTTTTTTAATTATTATTATTATTATTATATTATCTGTTATTTCCCTATACTGACCCATAGTTCTGAATTTTTATTTTCAAGTTCATATTATTTGATTAGCAAATTATATGTTCATTGTTATTTACTGGCTAATAACTGCATTTCATTTTTTTCTTCTTGTTAGCAGGTTTGGGTTATGGTTTGTGTCTTGAGTTTTCATTTCCTGTAGTAATTCTTTTTTGTTTCCTGATCACTGTTTGTTCTAATTATATGTGATTCATTAATGTAGTGGACTCTGAGCACTAATTTCATTGCATTCTACATAATACTAGATCAGACGAGAGGTCAGACTAGATGGCCTGGGAGGC